GTGTTATAACTATATTCTGATTTTAGTCCTTGTGTTATCCAACTTACCACTATTAACCTTCAATTATATCATGTGAGTGATTTTGATCCTTCAACTAACAGACCTAAATATTTTTAACAGAGAGTTTACTACTAAAAGGAGCAATTCAGGTATTTCAAAAATTTTTGTTTTGAGAAATAAAAATCATAAAGAAAAATCAGTCTCTTGTCCCTGACATAACGTACCCTAGTTGAACCCTAGTTCTGCAATATTTAGACGCTTCTTCATTGCAAAGAAATCCTCGATCTATTGATCTGGAAGCCACAATGGAATTGTGCTCTAAAAGTGGGTTACAATCCACCCATCATGTGAGTACTCTTTGTGTTAATTAGTTTAAGATTTCATGTGACAATCAAAGCAAAATATCACAACATACATATTGAAATACTTATAATTATTGGCTTGATGATGTGCAAATTATTTGCGTATGTGAAAAATGTGATTCTATATAAATTACTTATAAGCTTCAAGCGACAAGATGAACTCGATTTCAAACAGTTTAAGGAATCGTATGCTAACATAAAATGTATTCAATTTCTATTAGAAATTGAAAAAGTTTCAACGAAACATATTTGATGCATTGCCAAAAATACCACATACATTCAATGCTCTCAATTGTATCTTAGAATATGCATATGTCCAGTTTATCTTGAATAATTCGACCTCGATTGCTGCCACTTTTTTTTTAATTCCTCTAGCCAGATTGTTTCTCCTTATTACATGTTTGTGTGAAAGAATAGATTACTTATTACCAGTGCGCTATTTTTAAATGGTTGTTGTGTAAAAGTGACCATCTCCATATCTGTCTATGCAATTCTTGAGTTGTCTGCTTGCCAAACTCATGGTATCCTCATAATTTTCTTCAGATCCTTTTCTTTTTCATTTTCTGTCTAAATAAAAGGGAGATGGAAAATGAGTTTTTCCTTGAGATATGAGCAATAAACTGAAGGTTAATAGAAAGTCTTTAGAAATTTCTTTGTTGAAACTATTACTAAACAGAAAAATTACACTAGATAATAGGAGTTTAGTTAATAAAAAAAAGACATGCATGGCGCGTCATTTTCTAAAATCTACATTTACTTTATTTTAACGAAACCAATATGTTTCTTTTTAAAATCTCTTTACAGATGAAGGTGAAGATCCTGATATGTACACAATTAAGCTGCACTATATGGGTTGGTGGATATTTGAGCCTGAGATGGATTATGTTGGTGGACAAATAGGTTATTATGACTATTGTAAGGGAGATGAAAACTCTATCATCCATATGAGACAATGTATGAAAAAGTTGAATGTTCATGATAGAAAAGTAAAATTTTGGTTCAAGTTTGGACCTCATTTCGAGACAAGTATAAGATTGTTAACAAATGACTCAGATATATATAATCTTGTCAGCGAAATACTTGTGAATAGAGAGGTTGAGATATTTGTTGAGCACACAAATGAGGACCAATGGAGCTATGATGTTGTGACTGATTTAGAAAGCCAACTTCATAATGAAGAAAGCTTCATAGATGTGAATATAATAGAGGGAGGTAATGATAGTGATGCTACAAGTGAAGATTGTGAGTCATTCCATGACTCTGACTATCCTGAAGAAGAAGATGACATGATTTTAGATAAAATTAATAATTTTATTATAGAGTCAGCTAGTGTCAAAGGAAAAAATAAAGATAACCAGATTTGCGGAACGAGGAAAAACATTGAGTTTGGGTTTTTCTCATATATGCTAGCAGAATTTCCTAGTCAGACTCAAGAAGAAGACTATGTTGTATCAGACGATGAATTAATGAGTTTGCAGGGAGATTCAGATGATGATAACCCTAAAAGATCCTTTGTTTTTAACTAAGGCAAGGACTTAGAGGACCCAACATTTGAATTTATGATTAATATGATTTTCAGTAATAGTAAAGAGTTTAAGTGGGCAGTTGAGGTACATGCTGTGATGAAGAAGAAAGACATTAAATTTCTAAAGAATGAAACTAGGAGGTCAAGAGCAGTTTGCAAGGTGCCAAAATAAAAATGGTTCATCTTTGCATCAAAGGCAAATCAGGATGAACCTTTTAGGATCAAGATAATAGGCCCTGCTCATTCATGTGGCAACCAAAAAGACAATAGAACTATTGACTCTGGGTTTTTGGCTAAGAAGTATATAGAAGATTTTAGAATTAATCCTAGCTGGGGCGTAAAGGAATTTCAAGCTCATGTAATGAGAACTCAAAAGTGCACACTTAGTAGATACCAATCTTACATGGCAAAGAAAAGGCGTTGAACTTGATCACGGGGACTAAAGAAGAACAATTTAACATATTGTGGGACTATTGCGCTGAGTTGCAGAGGAGTAATCCTGGTACTACATGTATTTTGAAGCTGGATGATAATCCAAACACAATGGTCAGAGGCAAAAAAAGATTTTTAAGGCTCTATATTTGCTATGCAGCTTGTAAACAAGGGTTCTTAGCGGGATGTAGACCAATTATAAGGGTTAATGGATGTCATTTGAAAGGACATAAAAAAGGTGGGCAACAATTGAGTGCTGTAGGTGTTGATGGAAATAACAATATGTATCCAATTGCATATGCTGTAGTAGAAGGTGAATAAAAGAAACATGGTGTTGGTTTCTCACTCTTCTTGATGAAGACCTAGGAATCTCACAAAACCCTTTTGCATGGACTTTTATTTCTGATAAGCAAAAGGGTCTACTTCCAGCTTTTGATGAGGTACTTCCAGATGTTGCACACAGGTTTTGTGTGAGGCACCTGCACAACAACTTTAAAAATGAAGGTTTTTGGGGACAAGCACCGAAGGACGTCCTATGGAAAACAGCAAGGGCAACTACTGAAGATCAATTCCACAAGTATATGAAAGAAATGGAAAAGTTGAATGTAGAAGCCCCTCAATGGTTCAATAATAAGCCTCTTATTCACCCGTCCAGAGCTTTTTTCTCTTCTTTCACAAAGTGTGATATGCTATTGAACAATTTATGTGAATCGTTCAATAGCGTACTATTGATTGCTAGAGACAAGCACATTTTGACAATGCTCGAGTCAATTATGTTGTACGTGATGTCAAGATTTCAGAAGAATAGAGATAACACGATGAAGCATGGGCACAAAATCTGTCCAAAAATCTTGCTGAAGTTAGAGCAAAATAAATCTAAGGTTGCTGAATGTATTGCCACTAAAGCTGACCAGTTCCATTACCAAATTGAGGACATCTATCTTAGACTATTCTCTATTGAATTTAAGAGATGACATGTTCTTGTCGGAGATGGGAGTTAACTGGAATACCTTGTCATCATGCAATTGCAGCTATATGGGTTAAAAAGGACGAACCGGAAATGTATGTCCATGAATGCTACACAACTGAGCAGTATATGAAGAGTTATAGACCCTCAATCTTGCCAATTAATAACTCTGAAGAGTGGCTTAAGAGCTAAGATAGGAGTAGAACTAGCGCTGCCACCCATTTACAAAAATCAGCCTGGTAGATCGAAAAATTAAGAAAGAGAGGATCCGATGAGACATCTCCAAAAGAATCAGATCATAAAAAGCATAACTCGTTAAAAGCATCCAGAAAAGGAAAACAGAAGAATTGTGGTACATGTGGAAAAAAGGACATAATAGTAGAAGATGTCCTATTATCATGCAGAACCACCAAGAAGATGTTCAACAACAACTTGGAAGACGCAATGTAACAGAAGTAAGTACTCCAAATGTATTCTTTTATTTTGTTTTTGTATTCTTTTCATATGAGTTAGTTAAATTTATTAAGACTGAAATCACGAAATATTTTGTTTGCTGCAGGTTACAAGTATTATCGATGAGAGTCAAGCATCAATGCAGTCTAGTTCCTCATTTGTGACTAAACAAACAGTAATTACATTTTTTAATATTTATATTTAGGAAATATTTTTTTTTTACTATCTATGTGGTAAATATTGAAATCTTTTTTGATTATTAAGTGGTAAATATTGAAACTTACCAGCTGCCTTAAGTTCTTTAATACATATGTCAGATCAATCAATTTAACCAGCAAATGGCACAGCCTAGAGAGCAATTAAAGAGTTCAACATTCATTTTAGCAGAAATTGGCGAGCACTCTAGGGAAGGTACAAGCTCACTCTTCATCACGAGGGGGAAAGACTATATTCCACCATCAAGATTACGGGAAGCACTTTCTCAAACTAGCAAGAGAGGAAGAAAGGGACACCTTAAGAAAGAGAGCTACTGGCTCATCATAAATAAAGAAATCAAAAAAATGATGAACAAGGAGTGTGTGATTTCAGATCTATTTCTTCTGCGATAACTTTAAAGTTAGTTATATTCTTGGTGATGGATATGTATTTTAAAGACACCATTTCAGATCTATTTCTTTTGTGATGATTTTAAAAAAAATTTGTTGCCATTTTAAAAGAATAGGTAGCTTAATGCTTTCAGATTCCTACTTTGAATGGCTAGCCTCCCTACAGGAAGGTTCAGCCTAAAGCACTATTATCAAAGCACGGATGCCCCAAAAGTAACAACATAATGGTGGAGGATTATTTGGTTCCACATGACTACATGGGAGTGTGCAGATATGCCTTTGTATTGTTGCTAAAATGCCAAATGGAAGTCTCAACTTTGGATAGATTGAAAGAATAGGCGATTGTTCAAACTAATACAATATACTAGCACTAAGCAACATGATTACCACATCTTCTGACCAACTTCTATTTATTTACCCTTTCTTCAAGAGAGTGTGGGGAGAAAGATTACATTTATGTTCTGAAATTTGTCGTCATATATCACAAACCACAGACTATATCATCGCTCATATTGTATTGTTTATTTACAATAGTAAAGTCTTTCTAATTACCAAAAAGATTAAATCTCAGAATATATAAAACTAAATCCACCATAAGAAAAGAAAAGCAAAGAGCCTAAGTAACACATATTATTATCCACATAAAAAATTAAAGAAATGCAAAAAGCACATTATCCACATAAAAAAGTTAAACAATAGTACAAATATAAAAACTCATTATTATGCTCGGCCAAACTAATAGTAACACCACAATACAAATTAGCATCTTATGCTCAACAGCAATCCCATACACACACTTTGTTTAGTTCTCAATGACACAATTAGACAAATCAAATGGTAAAACTTATTTTCTAAAAGAACAAATTTATCTCTCCAGCCATAATTAGGTAAATTTTAAGTACAAGGTCATTACCAACTCCTATGAGAGCAACGAAGGAGGATACTGCATCAGCACAATGATGCCAAGCATTGTCTTTCATTAGTCCACTGCCAATCTTATCCCACTCACTTTGTTATCCAGTATAATCTACAAGAAAAAATTATATAGATTAAGCATATGTAGAGGAACAAAATAGCAGAAAAAAGCTATTTTTCCTAGAAAAGATACATCAAAGACATTAGTAGACGCATATTATACAGTAGCCAGTACTATCCATGCATCTGACAAAAAAGTATGGCGACTTCATTGTTCACTTTTATAATCACTACAAAGCAACTGTTTTTCATAATAATAAAATTACTTCACAACTCAGGATCCCACTAGTACACAATACAACACAACAGATATATGTGCGTCTACGTGTGTGTATATATACGATAGACAAACTTTTCTAAATATAGGAGCACAATGGAAAACATGTGCTCAAAACAAATGGCAACCCAGTTAATTGTCCTTTTTTACACACATCGGGGTTCTAGCGGAAAGTTCAATATAAGTTTTCTAATGCTAAAGGGAAGCAGAGATCTCCGCTACAGTATCTTGCAACAGTCACTAAACAGGAAGCTTGAGAGAAAATAATAAAGATTGCTACGTCCTTAACAATCTTAGAAAAAGATAGAAAAGAGAACAATGTCTTTTATTTTTTCTGATTGAAGGTGAAATGACTATACCCTTCTTTAACAGCTATAAAGAGTATAGTCACATTCAAAGCAAGAATAGGGTGATCCATATCAATTCTATGGTGATGTTGCTCATTCACGTGCAAATGACTCAATGACCGATTAACAACTTCAGACGTGATAGACCATAATTCCCACAAGAAATGTCTCAAGAATTTTAAAATAGTAGAAAACATAGACTCATATAGATATTGAATACTAGAAGTAGTACAATACCATCAAACATCTAAAGCATGCCATCCAATACCTCCAGCAGTAGCCAAGAGTACACCAGAAATTCCAAGAGCTCCAAGAGTGCCGCTGCATACAACTTGATCCTTCCAGCTACTGCTTTTGTAGCTTATGTGGCTAGCACTACTTTCACTTCTAATCTTCATTAATCAAGCTATACCCCTATTTTCTAACGGATTTTACAGGCTTGTTCCAATTGTTTATTCTAGAAATTCCTAGAATCTAAAGTTCTAAAAAACATGAGAAAGCCCAGAAATCGGACAAGATATCCAGGTAGCAGCTTAGATTTTGCAAATTAAATGATGTTGGAACCAAGAGAGTAGTGCATTCACCCGATCTAGCTCAAAACTGCAAAAATCGAGAAGAGAGGACGAGAGTTATATAAAATCAGAGAAATATACACAGAATCACGAGTACACTATGAAATCTTCGCAAGAGCCAGTGGGTTTTGTTCAAATGTAGCTCAGATGAGCTCGCTCTCGTCGAATAGAGAGAGAAAAAGCACATAGATAGAAATAAAAAGAGACATCAGATCTAGCTCACATGAGCTTGTTCTACGAAGAGAGGGAAAGATAGAGATAGAGAGAGCGAGAGAGAGCTCTAGTAGAGGATAGAAGCAAACCAAAAGTGTAATACCAGATTTATCTCTCTGTTAAGCGATCCCCGTTAAAAATGTTTAGGTATGCTAGTTGTAAGATCAAAATTACTCACATGATATAATTGAAGGTTAGCAGTGGTAAGTTGGATAACACAAGGACTAAAATCAGAATACATACATGTATAACACAGGGACTAAAAGTGCTATTTCCTCTTAACAATAGAAGGATCTTATCTATTCGACAACTTCTCAATGTTGAGGCTACTTGTTAGTTATATCAATGAGAACCTGAAAGTTAGAAGAGGTTATTATTTCTATATATTTAAAATGAAATGTACAATGCTTCAATGTGTTTTTGTAAGAACTACTACAGAGTTACGTGGATATGCTCCTTAGTTTATCTAAAATATTACTGCACGGGATAAAATATATTACATTAAATGATCAAGTAAGAAAGTGACACGTTGAGTCAAAGATAGAAGATGACTGAAATCGAAGGCAACTCTTTCATCTGTTACCAGAGATAATGATACACATAAAGGTGAAATAAATGTCTTTCACCCGGTAGCATTTAATGAAGAATATTCTACAATATTTAATACACCGCCCGTTATAAAAGAATATGGCATTCACGCCCGCCGTTACACATTCTTCAATGGCGCTCATAATTGGCATTGAAGAGGGGCTTGATCCTCGACCATATTCCCTAGGTATAGCCTCTACTATCATTGTAGGAGAATTTTCTGGAAAATATATGCTATAATCTGTTCAAAACTTTATACAATTTTATCCTTTAGCTTTTTGATTCCATTACCGTTGTACCCGGAAGCCCTGCTCCCGGAAATACTGTTTCTGTTGTTTCATCTTCATCTCAAGGATAAGTATTGCATATTATTTCTATTCTTCTATTATTTCAGGATCGAATTAATTCACTTGTCTTAGAAACCATTGTTTACCCTAAAAATCGAATAACAATTAAACATGTAATGTGATTTTAAGGATACACAATTTCACTTAATACCAATTGATTAATTTAGAAATAAGTGATGTAATTGGCAAGAATATGAAACAAACCGACGTTTGGACAGTATCCTCGAGCTGATGAATCCTCGAGAATAGTAAAGCAAGAACGGTTAAAGAACAATAATTAAAGAGCAACAAGCTGATGGGCAGAAGAAAGAAATAGTATATTGCCTTGATCTGTATGGATGTGAGAGGTTCTATAAATGATGGGGATCCCTCTTTATATACTAGAGAAATCCTAATTGAGGTACAATTCTAATTACGGAAGTAAATCTCATGATTGATACAAATAACCGCCCTTGATTTGATCCGTTCCGAGATTTCCGTCGTGATTTCGGACTGGTTACGGATATTTTGCCTTTCCGTTATTGTGTTCCGCTCGAAGCCGATCATATCCGATCTCGATCGTTGGGGACCTCGATCTCGACGGGTGCCTCGATCTCCGAACTATGCACCTTATCTCCGTGTTCAGGTCTGATCCCTTGTGAGGCTGACCCTCGAGGCAGTCCTCTGATCTCGAAATAATAACAAAATCGGGCAATCCCGATTTTACCCGTATACAGATAGTCCCTTCGTTTCTTAGAGTGTAATAAAAAGAACGAACCGAGTCTTCGATTTCGTACATCGACCAATTATGACGTCATCCTCATGACATAAGCGATTCAGGTGACCGAAACATCTCGTCGGTACAGTTCCCCAAACCATTAATGATTGCCAGTTGGCGGTCGGCCACTAGCACCACCGAACCGTCACCATAAATCTATAAATATAGGCTCTTTGGTTGAATCAAAATTTTACTTTCACCTCGACCAGGTTTTCTAAGTATCTTACTCTCTCCATCTCTTCTCTTTCACCACTTGTTGAGTCAACTTTGTTAGTACCAAAAATACCAAATTTCACCTCAATCCGCTTCCTTCTACCTGAATTACTGGCGAAAACCTCCAAGACCGTCCCACAAAAGGAGAAAGCTTCTTCCTCTTCTTCCCGGCCAGCCGGTGACAAAACGCCGGTAGAATCGTTCCCTCACGAGTATGTTCCCGGCCCTTGTGTCTTAAAATCTGACTTCCAAGTCGAGAACCCTCCATCGATCACTGGCCGATGTGAACACATGTCGAGATATATCTGCTCGATAACAATGAGCCATCTCGAGGCTGTGAAGAGAGACTGTAATTGGGGGCCGAGGTCGTGGTACAAATCCCCGCTCCCGAAGAGAGTATTACCACGCATGTGGAGGGATTTCAAAGTGTCTACACTTATCCCTTCATATTGGGTCCTCTTGACCCAGTTGTCGTCTACTTTTGCAAGAGATACCAGGTCACCCTTGGCTAGGTTCATCCCTCGTTCTGGTGTATAGTGATCATGCTCTGCTTTTTTTTCTAGCAAGGCCGAGGGGTTGGAGTTCACTCTTAGCCACCTTATGCGGTTATACGACCTCAACTTTTTAAAGGGTTGATCAAGCTCCAACGCCGAGAAACGAAGACCTTGTTTGCGAGCGTCGATGAGGATAAGGACCGGGGTTGGATGAGCCGGTTCGTGCGGGTAAGGACCTGTGACCTCATCCCAGAGGAGAAATTGTCGTTCCCCGAGAAGTGGAACCCCGATCGCAAGTAACGTATTACCCATTAGTCTTCATACTCCATTTTTGCTTTATGTAATGCTTTCATCTATTATGCAGGGGTTGCCTGGATTCCTCACGCGGTCCCCGACCTCGAAGACTGGGTTTGGAAGTTGGCCTCGACTTTCTCCCATGCCGAACGCTGCTGGCGTGACTTGGTAAAGGGCATATGAGAGGCCAAGAATCATGGTAAGCTTATCTTGTACGCTTTCGATGCCTTTTTTTGAAACATTTCTTTTTGTTTATACTGGACTCCCTTTTATGCACGCCTCGGGGATGTTGCTGAAATGAGGTCGGCCCCGTCTAGGGAAGAGGTGGCTCCAAAATCGGCTAAGGACAAGAAAAGAAGAAGGGCCTAGCCTTCTGATACCCCGAAGCCTAAGAAGATTAAGGCTTACAAGTCGAAGAATGACTCCGCTGCTCTGTCTGTTGCCGTAGCCCAAAAACTACGAGATAAAAAAGAGGAGGGGGAAGATGCTGGTTGCGAGCTGGTGGATCAAAAGAGGGGAAGCGTCGAAGCTTCAAAGCAGCTGAGCCGGTGATGGTCGAAGAAGCTCATCCTCGGACCTAGGAGATCTCGGAAGGTGGACCGAGCAAAGTCCTCGAGTCATCGGGGGCCGAAGATATCTTCTTCCATGGCGAACAACCGGCGAGTGTGCCCGAAGGGTCCGGTATTGAGGCCCTTCAAAAGGGAGAGAGTGCCTAAGTGACTTGCTTGGGGAAATCAATATTGATTTGCCGCCCGACCCCACATTTTCTGAAGGGCAATTTTGGGAGGCTCGGTTTATGGAGACCCCTGATGTGGGAACAACCCACGAAGGGGAAGACATATTCCGTGGCTGCCTTGCAGGGGTCGATGATATTTCCGACCTAGATGCAACGATCATTTTTAACGAGGCTCAGCGACTCCTGAACCAGGTAAATTTCATCCCCCGTTATTACGTTTGCTTTTATTTCCTTCTGTCTGATTTCTTTCCTTTCTCCATAGGCTGTGATGCTTCATCGCGAAGCATTCACCAAATCCCAAGCCGAGGTGAACCGGTGTGAGGCCGATCTCAAAAGGCTCACAGAGGAGAGAGACGCCTTCAAACGCCTCTATGTGCAGAAAGAAGAGGAGATCAGGGACCTCCGAGCTGAATTGGCAACAACCCATAAGAAGCAGATCGACCTCATCTAGCAGGTAATGTAAAATTTCAGTAACTTGATATATCAATTTGATATTGGTGACTAACACTTAGATCCTGCAGGATCACCACAAGACCGAGAAAATCAAGCAGCTTCTTGAGGAGGCAGAGATAAAAGAGGCCGAGACTTTGGGGTGGAAGCAGAACATGGACCGTCTTGCCTCAGAAAAAGTTACCGCTCGGGCCCAACTATCTTCGGCTGAGTGTCAACTCCAAAGCATAAGGGAAGAGAGCTTGGCTTGAGTCAAGAAAATTGAAGAACTCGAGACTCGGCTGGCTGCTGAGCTTGCAAAGGCCGCATCTGTAGCGGAAAAGGCAAAGGTCGACGCGAAGGCGGTCGTGGCTGTCTACCGAGCCGACGCTGAAGCTGAAACTGCTAACGCTCGAGCGAAAGAAATTTACGATGCTGCTCAGGTTCGATTATCCCGCGCTACTGAGCATGCCAAATGTCAGTCTCGGAAGGAGACTCTCGAGGAGGTTCATGCTCGTGGCTTTGACCTCACGGCCGATATTGAGGATGCAAAAGCGCTGGAAGCTGAGGCTGATGCTTTACTCTCTGATGATGACGACTCCAGGAGTGTGAGCGGATCCGAGAGCGGAGAAGATGAAGATGAAGCTCCCGGGGAAGATTAGGCACTTAGAATTTTTTCGTTCATTTTTTGGATTTTTGTGTAAGACCTCTATCGGTCCTTATATAAAGAAATTTCTCTTTTGAATGCCTTCTCAAATTTTTTCTTCAATCATGTTTCGTGCCTTGTAAAACTTTAGCACATCTTTATGCTTTAAACAATATGTTCGAGACTTTGGTTTTAAATGACTTGATCGAAGCCATAATAATATTGCTTTTATAGTCGAGGTTCGAGTGAAATCTGAATTTGGAGCAAAAGGACCCTTAGGTTTGTTTCGTTCGATAATGAACCTCGATCTGTAGTTGAGTAGGTTCTTATTCAAATTCGAGATAGCGGTACCCTTAGGTTCGAATCGACTGAGAACGTATTCTCGAACTCAAAGTTGTTGGCCCTTAGGCTCTTTGAATTGGGCCGAAATGGCCTCTAAAGGATGGCTATGTTTTTCCTCTTTCGGCTCAAAGACTTAGTAAAATTTCTTATGCCTTAGCATGTATTTTTTGAGGGTTTAGTGTTGATCGAAACCCCTTTGTTTTTGTGCCTTAGCACAAGTTCGTATTTGAATAATTCGATACCTCTTAT